ATATATATATATGATTTGTGATGATGCATCTTCATATTATATATACAGTAGTCCCTCATTTATCACAGGGTTTAGGGAACCATGCCCCTATATAAAATCAATAAATTGTAAACACATTTGATCCACAATATTTTTCTGAAATCAGGTAAGGTTGAATTTTTGAGCAGCCTTGAAATATTTAATATGAAGATGCATCATCACAAATCAAGTGTGCAGTTGGTGGAGGCTTCACTTCACAGTAAGAATGTTACAGATTCAAATCCCTGCTGTGACTTCTGTGTGGAGTTGTGCATGTTGTCTCTGTGCATGCATAGGTTTTCTCTCTGTACCAAAGTTTCCTCTCACAGACAGAAATCATGCATATGTAAACTAGTAACTAAACTGTAACTAGGTGTGAGTGAGCACGTGTCTCGTTTGTCTCTATGTGTCCCTGTGATGGACTGACGACCTGTCCAGCGTGTCCCCCACCTCTCACCCAATGACTGCTGGAGACAGGCCCCAGCTCGCTGTGACTCAGCACATCAAAGTGGTAAAATAAATAAATGGATGGAAGATTCTGCATAGCAAACAGAAATTAGAACAGAACAGAATCGAACAGAATTAGACAGAAAGTAAAAATATGCAGACAGTGGTACAATTACAGCCCAACGCTGGTTTTGCTATTTTGGGTAATGAAAAAGTCTCACCGGTATTAGACATGCAACCACCATAAAACTCCATAGAAGTTATATTACCCAGCTTTGTTACACTAAAAATGATTTAATGTGGACAAAAGTGTGCACTTTGAAATTATGAGTTTACTTTAGGGCAAAAACTCGATAAGATGCCGGTGAGTCTAATTTGGGGAATTATTGTGGTTGTTTTCCTTACATGTAACGTTTATAATCACAAAGAACACAAGCATCTCAAATAATCAGCCAAAAATTGCCATCTATCTCTTCTGTGATGCAACCAGGGCAGGAAAGCATTTAAGAAGGAAGGAAACTAAAAAAAAAAAAAAAAAAGTTTGTGAGTTTTATAGATTTATTCAGTCATGCAGAGTTCTCCATTTCACAAATCTGTGGACTTGTGCATAAATAAGAGTGCATACATTTTTGAGCAGGAGCTCTGAAACACTAACAGATGTAGCTTTTAATAATCATAGTGGCCTGATTTTATAATCAATTTTTACAAAAAAAAAAGGGAGCACAAATCTACTTGACCTTTATTTTTATATTAAAAAAGCACCACAGTCTGCTACACCTCCAGATGCAGGAAGAGGACCATCTGCATCATGAAGGACCCCACTCACCCAGCACACACTTTTTGCCCCGCTCCCCTCAGGCAGGAGGTTGAGGAGCATTAAGTGTAGAACCACTAGACTGAGAAACAGCTTCTACCCTGAAGCTGTTGAGATTCATAACTCCCTAACCAGAAAAACCACTGTAACGCCACTTTATTGGAGATTTGTCACTTTATCTGTGCTGCTGATTATCCATATTGCTGATTTCTTGCATTTAAGATGCTGTATTCATACCCATCTGCTCACAACAGACTCATGTTCAGGCTGCTGTTTAATATACCGTATTATTTTACATTATTATTGTTTAGCATATGTCTTAGATCCTTATTTACTGTTTCTTTTTTATACTTTAAATTTTTTTCTTTTGTTGGATGTAACTGGGACCTTGAGTACACAATTTCGTTCCACCTCATGTACCACATGCGATGCGAATGACAATAAAGAACCTTGAACCTTGATATAAACTAATAAGAGGTAACAAAACTGAGCTGACCTGAAAAGAAACATTATACCTCAGAGGGGCCCTGAGTTTTGGACATGTCAGCAAATCCCACCTCTGACCTCAGATTGGAATTGAAGACTTTTTAAACTCAGACTGAATCTTTTGTTTGTCACAGAACAGAGTGACTGCACAAACAAGAAGACAAGTCAAAAGCACAAGACATGCAGTGAGTTATTGTGCGTGGGGAGGTAGGAGGTTTCAAAAAAATGGAAAATCGAAAAAAAAAGAAATTACAGAGTGGGCTGGAGAGAAATGAGCAGAGGGTGAGCAGAGTGGTGGCTGACCATAGCAAGCAGGCAGCCTCCACACACTTTAACCACAGTTGCATGTGTGTCTGCATGTGCACCTATAATCAAACGGTTCCATGGGTTCCTGAAAATTTGGCAACATTGGCAACCATGCCACATATCCCACAAGCAAGCAGACAAAAAGCAAAGCCTTGACCCACACACAGACATAAAAAAGAACCTGTATACTTACTATGCAGGGCAGGGCTGTGTGTTGCAGAGATGGGAGCCCAGTGTGGGCTTGCTGAGGGGATTACACATGCTGGAGTTGACCTGGGTCTTTTGGTCCTGTAGACAGATAGTCTTTGTTGAAATGCGACCTGATGGAGAGATGCAAAGAAAAACAAAAAAACAGGTTGGTGCATGTCTGGAGAATCTGATCCTGGATCAGTTATCTGTGATTATTTCTATCATTAACCAACAAACAAGATGCAAGTGGTGAAGAGTTGGCGTCTTCAGCTGTTATAATGTGTGATGAAAATAAAAAGGAACATTGTTACTAAACTGGAAAAGAAGTTATTAAGAGTATTGGTGTATTCGCACTGCAGAGCCCTTATATTTATTCTGTTATTATTATTTTTGTTCTTGCCACATTTAATAAAAAAAAATAAATAATGCACAGCATACTCTTTAAACACAACAATGGAATTTTGGAAAAATGAAAGAATGAGAATCCCAGTGGCGATTTTAGCCTCTTTTCTGGGGTGCTCAAGCACCCCTAAATTTTAACTGAGCATCCCTGAAAACTAAAGTTAAAAACAAACAAAACAAAAAAATATATATATTTTTTGGGTGGTTCTGGGTTTGGGTTCTGCTTATTGCATTCATGATTCAAAGCAACAGAATAAACAAATTTAAAAGATTGTTGTAAAACTTGGTTTATTTACATAATGATTTTAATTGTTGGATGTCCGGCCCCTGAGCTGCTGGCTTTCAGTGGCTGTGGCCCCCTGAGCAGTTTAGTTGAATAACCCTGCTTTAGAGGGTGGAATAAAGTTTATTCCATTTCCTAAACCTAAACTGAGTCTGAAAAATGTAAAAGATGGATAAAGCCCTGCAACCCAACCCCCCACCCACCACCCCCACCAACACTTTATGAATGCTTCTGATGTCAATGGCCACCGTGTTATTCAAGCCAAGAGCCATTGTCAACACTGGGGGCTAAGCACCCCCTAAAGAGCAGATTTTAGAATCACCCCTGGAGAAAACCCAATGTCTTCACAGCCGAAACATCATTTAACCTCCTAAGACCCAGACTCTTGCATATGTGGATGCCAGGTTCTAGGAGGTTAAAGTTTAAAACTGGGATTATCAAACTTTTTGGGTTCAGGGACCCCTTACAGGGGAGAAAAAGTTTCAGGAACCCCCTCATAACCCTCATGTTTATTAAATATTATTTTTGGGACCCTGTACACATAATTTCATTCCACCTCATGTACCAAATGTGATGTGAATGACAATAAAATTGACTTGGAGCTTGATAATTTTCTTCAACTGGTCTCTTTAAGACAATGAACATATTTGTGTAACATAAATACTTAAGACCTGTTCTTTAATAGTGTTAATACAATTTGTATACTTTTAAACATGGGATGTTTTGCATTCAAGACTCACTTAATTAAAAAAAATAATAATTTCAACTTCCAAAAATTACAGTTTTGAGAAAACAGTATCAAAAAACACTTTAAAAATTATAACAGCAGTAGTCATACCAAGTAACAGGACTTAATTTGTAAACCAATCGATGCTGGAACACAAGGGATTGGGGTGTCTGGGGGTCCTCCCACAGAAATTTTAGAATAAAATAGATGTGATTTCATGTATTTTGGTGTATTTTAACAGGTTGTTAAACATTTGCGTTCTTGTAACAAAAAACATTTTTTTACACCCAAGTACTGGCTCACGGATCCCCGAGTGTCCGGGGACCCCAGTTTGATTACTACTGGTTTAAACCATTCACAGAAGGTTGAACTTTACAAGACTTACTTGGCATGTTGATATCACAGTTCAAGGCTAATAAAATGTACAGATTTTACCACAAAATGTTTAAGGTAAATCATGAAAATTATTGTGAAAATGTCGTTTCTGGAAGTCCACATTGAAAAGGTGCTATTTATACGACAAAATTGGTGGCAGGCCTCAGACTGACGAAGTCTTTCGGATGAAAGACGTCACGTTTCAACTAAGAAGAATCTGCCCAGATGACCTGATTTAACTTTTCTGTGAAAATATCACATACAGTATCTTTTGAGCTGTGAGCACTTTCCAAAAAAAAGGTTTTATGCCCACAAACTTTACACTTCTTTCACCATATATACATCAAAACAAAGATGTTGTTGTGTTCTTTTACCCATTGGGTCTCTTACAGGTTTAGGTCAGTAACACTTAAGAGTTTCTGTAAAATGACTACTTATCTGAGCCTTACTTTATAGTCTACATTTCTGTCTGCTCATCTTAATAAAAGTGTTGTTGGGCAAAAACCTGTGCATTTTGTCAATTTAGAATATTTTAATAGTAATTACTCAAATTACTATTAGCCTTTAGAAGAAAGAGTTGGTGTAAAATTTCCATCAGTCCAGCTGAGACCAAAAACAACAAGAAACATATTCAATGAACATGCAGGACATTTTAACATTAGGATGAGACCGTGTTTGTCCAAGGCAATTTGTCAAAACACCATGTCTTGTACATACCACATGCACACACAGAATCCCTACAAAGATTTTAGGATCCCATGAAACACAAGCTAAGAGAGAAACAGTCTCACCTCCAGCGCATGGAGCCGAGCAGTCCGAGCGCATCACACCCCAGCTGTACTCAGGTTTCCTCTCGGTGCGAGGCAAAGTGTACTCCCACACCACACCCGGGTTCCTTCCCTGGAGAAGGATCTGTCAGCCAAAAACCAGCTAGTCAGAATGCTGTCAGCTGCAAGAATTTAAAACCTTATTTCATCATGAGAAGCACACTGATAACTTAAACCACAACCAATTTATAAACGAGTTAAATCAGCTACCGTTAGTTCTTGTTTTAAATCTCCAAACAGCTGATATAAATGAAGGAAATGGGAATGAGTGAATCCTAATTTGGGCAGAAAGCAAATACAGTAAATACCTAATCAACTTTATCACTAAACCCATTGGTAGAGCTCCAAGAATATGTATGGTATAAAGATTTGAACTGAAGCAAATTCACCAATTTCTCAGTTATTTCACAACAAAATACTAAAAAAAGACAGTGAGGAGGTTGTCGAAGTTTATTTCAGTCACTCAGGGTCATTCATGTTGCTATATTAAAAAGCATGGCTCAAGAAACTTTACAGGGTGCCTAATTCTATCTCTAGTGAGTTCAAACTAACAGTGCCTGGTTTATTTTATTCCCATAATGCCGCACACCTACCACAGGTTACTTTTTCTGTGGGACAGATTTATTTAGACATCTAAGTCAAGCAAAGACTAACGGATGAATGAAGGCAGACCTACCCATTACAGGAGAAGAATTATCATTAAAGCAGCCCCAAGAGGCTCAACTACCACTTTAAAAAAATAAGTTTTATTTCAGGTCCAAGTACATAGACAGCTCACAGCATGTCATTTTAAACTACTTCGTAATGCAGTAATGGGTTTTGGTCAGTTTTAGCTGTTTCTGCTTGTTTTACTCCAATTTGGTCGATAAAAGTTTCAATAATGTTTCATTAGGTTATATCCAAGAGAATTCAAGCATTAACAATCACCTGTCCAAAAGCTAACCACCTCCTGGGGTCAAACCATAAAGGGTTTTCCCTTAACCCAGCCAACCCTCCTAAAGCCTACATGAATAATTCTGGGTAAAATTACCCAGAATTGGATGCTCTAACAGGGCTGAGTCAAAAAGCTTCTTAATGTCAGCTGCATACTAAGTATTATGTGGTTTGTGCATGTGTATTTTTAGTATTACAAAAATTAATACAACTTTTCATGTTCTTGTTAAAATAACATGCATATAGTTGAACCTTGAAGAACTCTCCCACATTTACAGAACCAGAGTCTCCAGGAAGGCTAAAGCTATCCTTGTCGACCAAAGTCCTCCCTCTCACGAGTACAGGCTGCTGCCAACTGGTTGCACGTATATGGCACCAAAGTGCGAAACAAAAAGATGCACATCTTCATTCATTCCTGTTAGTACTGGACTCATCAACAGTTTGAGTTGATCTGCTTAATAAGAACCACAGAAGCAAACATGTATACGCTGAGTTTACGAAAAGTTGTGCCTGTTGGACTGTTGTCATTTATCTACTTGTACTTACTCTCTGCTGGCTGCATATTCATCCAAACATGGTGTTCCTACTGAGTTTGTAGATGCTTGCAAATACTTGGAAATGTTGGTTGATGCACGTCTCTCTTTTAAGCCACATATTGAAAACTTGATAAAGAAACTGAAATTAAAACTGGGTTTCTTTTTCAGAAATAGATCTTAATTCTGAATGCCAGAAAACGCCTTGTAACCACTACTTTCCTGCCACTGACTATGGTGACATTATTTACATGAATGCTCCTGCAAGCACCTTGCAGATGTTGGATGCTGTCTACCATGGTGCGCTAAGATTCATAACTGGCTGTAACTACCGTACCATCACTGCACCCCTGTATTCATTGGTCAGTTGGTCATCATTATCCACATGTAGGCTCTCACACTGGTTCATCTTCATCTTGGTCTGCTTCCTCCGAATATCTCCTCCCACTTGTCACCTCATCATTGCAGTTACAGCGTGCACTCTCAGGCCATCGTTACCTGCAGCGTTCCCTCAGAGCAGACTGAACTCGGCAAAAGACATTTTCCTACTCAACTCCTGCAACCTGGAACACCTTGCAACAGGAACTGAAGCTGTTCTCCTTAATTTCTTTAGGGGATTTTAAACAGGGCAGCACGGCGGCACAACTGGTAGAGCTGCTGCCTCTCAGTGATCAGGTTACCCTGGTTCAAATCCCCGGTCCAGGGGTCTTTCTGGGTGGAGTTTGTATGTTTTCTCCGTGCATGTGTGAGTTTTCTCTGGGTACTCCAGTTTCCTCCCACAGACCAAAAACATGCATGTTAAGCTGATTGGTAACTAAATTGTCCCTAGGTGTGAGTGAGAAAGTGAATGGTTGTTCGTCTCGTTTGTCTCTATGTATCCCTGTGATAGATATGCAACCTGTCCAGGGTGTCCCCCGCCTATCGCACAGTGATAGCAGGACATGGGCGCCGGCGACCCCCGAGACCCGAAAAGGAAGAAGCGGGTAAAGGTAATGTCTGGATGGATGGATTTTAAACATTTGATAAAGTCAATACAAACATCAAAGCAAATATGTTCTTGTTTTTAGTATTTTACCTTGTTTTATTTGGCACCTTGATTTATTGTTTTATAACATTAATTTTATTTTAATTGTATTTTACTGTAGTTTATTGTTGTCTGTACTTTACATGTTGTCTGTCTAAAACAGCTCTCTCTTGTAAAGAGTTTTCGTGACTCAAGACTAAACTGTATAAATAAAGGTTGAATGAATAATGAACTGCCACTCTGGGAAAATAAAGTGTACCGTAAAAATGCACACAGTTGATGCAAAAAAAAACTTAGAATTGGAAAATAATGTACATGTGAATGAGAAAGCAGTGTGGCCTGATGAAACTGACTTTCCGCAATAAATGTTCTTAATTAAACTTAAATTTGTTTGAGTTAAGATAAAAGTATAAACAGCAGGGACAAAACGGTAACAGTGAGACTGTTTAACTTGAAGAGAAATGCATTACCCATTCTGGAATGACTCCTTTTTTAATATGGCTAAGGTTGTGTGACTGATGTCAGTCTGTCCTAACTACATTGCAACAGCAGACCACAGAGTGTCTTGGTTTTCACAGCCCAACATCCACACCACTCATCAAGTCAGATGAGATGATGATGAATTACAGCGTGGCGGATACAGATATCAGGCTTACGACATTCCCCTTCTGGACTGGCATGACCTTGTCTTGCAAAACCACACAAAAAAATCTCTATTCCAAGGGGGGAATAATCCTACTTAGTGTCCACCGAGACCTCCGGAAGCAGCCATATGTCATGTCTGATCCCTCCTCATTCTGTAAACTACTTCCACCCCCCACCCCTCGTTGCTTCTTCTCTCTACCAGCTGAGCAGCTGCGCACCTTGTCACAGTTTACACTCACACTCTTCAACATGTGTTTTTCTTGCAATGCTTCAAGTTGAGGAAGGGTCTGGGAGTGATCCATGCATACATCTTCCCCTCCTTCTCGCTCAGCCTTTCTGTCACAGCATCAGTTCAGCTGAATGTGTGAAACAGATGATCTGTGCCTGAAATAACACACACATGCATGATGCTTTCCTGTAGAGTTATAAGTCTCTGCGTTCAGATCTGAACGTCACACACTGACAAAGTTTGACTGTAAAAATCCTAATCTTTTAATCTCCCTCTCCCTCCCCTCACACTGTCCTTATTTCTCGATCAACCTCTGTGTCCTTTCAGTAATTACAGAACGGAATTATAGAGATTATGTCTGCAACATCTGCAAATCAGCTGCACAATAATACTGTGTGCTCTGCTGAGGAGATGTACGAGTCGGACTCACAGATAAGCGGATGAAAAACATAATCAGTGTTGGAAAAAAAAAAGTTCTGTCTCATGATTTTACATAATGCTTGTGTTTAGCCATAATTTTGCTCAGCTACATTAGCGCTGTGCTCGAGAAAATGGTAGAGATGAAGTATCGATGACATGTTATATAAATCATTTTTCAATTGGCACAAAGCAAAAATATGTTACCATTTCCCCATGGAGCACAAAGCTGGGTGCACACAGCTACAGTGTTGATGTTAAGGCTGAAACAGGAAATCAGTTCGTAAACTGTGAAGGATAGTTACATGATGTGCGATGAGCAGTTTTACTTGATTGTTTTGCTTCTAATTTTCATTCCAAGTAACCTTAAATCAACATTTTAACAGAGGTATCACCACTCTCCTAGATCCTAGCAGTGCCAATTACTCTGTCATCATGAAATGACTGTATGTTGCATTCCAGCTGTTCTTTGGCTCACTAAGACCTGCTCTGTATCCCTCTGTCAACTGGAAATATTTCAGCATTTCTAATTATGTATACTTGTTCCCCTGATGATTTTATTCTGTCACAGTTACTTTACAACAGAATACATATACTGTACGTAAAAGACAGGCATAGTGGTGCCTGGTTATGTTATGAAATGGGGAAGAAAAATAAGAACTATTCAAATTTAATAATCCTTTGCATTTATGCTACAGACATATTTTAGGTCAGCTATCTAAAGTAACAGACAGCACACTAGAGGTGTAGAAGAAAATGGAAATGTGGATGGAGATGTGTCGGGGTGATTTGTGACAGAAGGAGAGCTGCAAGAGTGTAGGGGAAGGTTTACAAAATGGTAATGAGACCTGCTGTAATATATGATTTGGAGACAGTGGCACTGACATCAAGACAGCAAGAGCTGGAGGTCTTAGGGATGAAGATGTCAAGATTTTCAATGGAATGACCAAAATGGACAGCACTAAAAATGAGTATATCAAAGGGACAGCTCACGTTGAGCTGTCTGCAGACAAAATTAGAGAGGAAAGATTTATAGTTTGGACATGTACAGAAGAGGGATAGTGGATGCATTGGACAAAGTATGTTGAGTACGGAGTGTCCAGAGGATGTAAGAGGAAGACCAGAGAAGAGGTTTATGGATGTAGTGAAGAAGGATGTGCAGTGAGTTGGTGTGACTGAAGAAGACGCTAAGGATAGGATGAAATGTAGGCATTGATCCATTGCTTGTTACCCCTAAAGGGAGTAGCTAAAACTAGAAAATCCCTCCTTGGCGATACAATTTATAATAGCATGATGTCCAGGTACATTTGTATTTCCACTGACTGTCCTGCCAAAGCAATGATTCAAACCAAAACTATGCTGAGCATTGAGAATATTGTATTTTGTTGTCTTTTTGGGTCATAATCCCAAGTGCAAGGACAAAGAATGGGCAGCTATCAACACCCATTTTGCAAAATTGTATCCAAACCTTCAGGATAACATTGAGAAATCTTTATGATCAAGTGTAATAACAATATTTTATAACACAAGAGAAAAAGTTAGAAGGTCTGACTAAATATGACTGACCATTAGGGCTCCCTAAAAAGCTATACTGTACCAATATTTTTTTTAAATTCATCATGCTACCTTGGTCAGTCAGCAAGGAACAATCCCAAACTACATAGCAAAGTGGATTGCATTTCTTAAAAAAATAAATAAATAACAAGTTAATTAAGTATTAAAATAATTTAAATGTACTAGAAGACTGAGAATTATGTTCTTGTCCTTGTCATAGGTTAATTAGCCATGTGCTAGTTTACATATATTTACATTAGCCATGTTGGGCTAAAAACACAACAACTCACTAGTGAGAGGTGAACTAGAAATGTCATTTTTGTTCATAAACAAAAGATCACAGCAGATCTGTAAACAAATCAAAAAAAGACAAGCAATTCAAATAGCAACTAAAAACAGTGACTGAACTTAAATGGCCACAGACCAAAGCCTCTTCACCAAAATAGTCACATTAGCACTTGTATATTTCCAGACAGCTAGACAAGTGACCACCAAAGCACGTTAGAAATATAACACTGGTATTTTCTTGTGGACTCACGGGCCAATCATTCCTGTGTTAACCACAATATGTCAGTAGCCCAGGGGACAGAGTGGAGACTACTTTTACATGAATATAACTTCACTGTCTGCTCTTCAGCTGGTTTCCACTTCTGTTTTCACAGCCAGGGCTCAAAGGTCAAGAGAAAATAGATGCTTTTGCTGACAAAGTTATGTGAGAAGAACATCCCCCACATCCCTCTCTAATCACTTAGACCTCAACATGACTCTGACACTTGTCCAATGTTGGTTTTGCTGTCAGGGGTATACGTCTGTCCAGCATCACATTATGCTGCTTTACGACAGGTAAAAACTTGCACTCTCCTCCAAGCTCTGGTTTCTAACACACAGCTGATGAAAAAGGTACATTTAAAAGAAAGAAGAAAAAAAAAACACTAGCTCATAAATCATTTGCTATACTGTGCAGAACATCTCACTCAAGGCAACCATCTGATTTTATACTTTTCATTCCTGCCTTAAAAGAGCATGAGACTGAAAGATTTTACTTGCTCTACTGGCTTCACATTACACAGATTCAACAAAGCTCTTTTGCGATTGCTGGACACAGGGGCATAGACATAGATGTGAACACGGCTGTAAATAATTGTAGTTTGTAGTACCTGAAACTGGCCTTCAAATAAACAACGTGCCACATGAGACCAATTTGAGCAGTAACCTTGACTCAGTGACTGTGCCACAGTTTGCTCTGTGATGTCCGTCATATTTGTCTTCTATACTAGAAAAAAGTTTAAACTATTGGCCTACACAAATTGTAGATATACATATTTTTTGTTCCTGCCTTTTTTTTTTTACCACTACTGTTATAGTCTCTCACATTTTCTCTGATTTTAACAGCAGCTATCTATCCTCACATCATCCCTCACACAGTTAAACACCCCATCACAATTCAACAATCGTCTACCGCAAACCTATTTTTACATTTCACCCAAATCACCCTGAGCTTAAATGAAAACTTTTAGCAGCTCTGAGGTCCTGTCAGTGTCAATTGCCATAAATGAACAACATCTAGCAGTGGCGGCTTACTTCAAACACCAGAGTCTCATTAGTAGGTCCAGCAGTGTACAGACTCTCCGGCTTGTTAAAAGAGCGTTGGTAGTCAAATGTAGCGCCGCCAAAGGAAAGCTTCCCTGGCCAGTCCACAGTCCAGTCCCCAGTTAGGTAGTACTTCCTCTTTAGAGATCTGGCGGCCAGGTAGCTGTTGGACACCTCCATTTCCTGGATGTGGATGCTCCTAGCCCCAGCTGGAATTGTCACCATGGAGTAATACTCTGTTTAAAAAGAAGGATAAAGTTATCATGACATCTTTGCTTTCTAGTTAGAACTAGAGATTGTTGTGTTGTTTTTTTAATCCCATTTCCTTGTTTGTCCCCTAATGTTTCTTTGTTAAATGGATCTACTTGGTGCTTGTCTCATCACATGTACAGAAAAACATGAAGCTAAAGAAAAACTTACCATTAGCCCGATGTTGAAGGGTGTACTGACCCTTGAAAAACTTGCAAGTGGAGTTGTCTCCCTTACAGACCCCACAGGCATCTAGAGTGGTCTTGGACCCCAGAATCTGGTCACAGCCCACAGCCTTAACAAAGATTCACAGAAAACTAGTCATGCCAATAAGGTATATAGAGTCATGATAAAGAAACGATCCATCTATTAATGTGGAATTAACAAGTGTAGAGAATGAGTCAAGCAGTCTCTCTTTGATTTTGGCATTATCTTTGTTGATGCTTCTGAACAATAAAAGGTCTAAAGTTACCTTGAGTAAGCAAGACAAAATAAAACAGTTTAAGCAATGTACCTCACACACTCCATCAATGCAGACATCTCCTTTGTGGTCAGAGCAGGAGGTGCCATCTTTTACTTTGCTGGACATGGCAAAGAAGAAATCAAAGTCTTCTGCAATGCAGTACAGCTTACAGATGTCTTCATCTGCACAGAGAAGAAGTCTAGTTGTTGACTCTCTAAAGTTCATCTGTGACCTGGTCAGTTAAAGGTTACAGCTACTGGGCTGCAAACACTTTCACACTGCCTACATTAAAACACGTTCTGCTGGAACTGAAATGAAAAGGAGAGACATTTGCTATAAAAACATCTAGGGGTACTCGTATTGGGACACATTTTTATTTTATTTTACTTTTATTTTGCTCAGTTATAATAGAAGAAAAAAATTCAGCCAACTTTGATTAAAACAAATTATGGTGAAGGTGATTTGGCCCAGCGTACCATAAAGCAGTTCAGAATCTGTCCCTTTCTACATCCACCCCTATTCATCAAAGCTTAAAGGGGGCTAGGACAACAGCCAAACATGCTGCTCTTCCTCGCTGCACTCTCTCTCTCTACCGCTCTCTGTGTAACAAAGCTGGCCCACAGGCTTTCTTTTATAAATCCGTTCCTGCTCTGTCTGAGGGTACAGGTGGCTACATGTTCCCCATGCACATTATCCATGGCTTTACTTTCTTCCAGATTTTTGGCCCTAATCTTTGCAACAGTAAACAAAGGTTGGCATTAAAGAAACACTCCATAAAAAGGATTTGGATACAGAACATACAAGTTCTGTAAACTTTAAGACAAGAAAAAAATGTGTTCTTTGCAAGTCATTGTATATTTGACAGCTCTATGAACTCAAACAATTTGGCATGGTGTGCACTGAACACAATAAACTTTTGTATGTCTTGAAGCAACTGGCAACCTTACCGTCAACTGTAGTGTACGGTTTCCACTTGTAGTACCAACCCCTAAAAGGCTTGCTGTTGTACTCAGCGCACTGCTGGGCCCGGAAGTCTACGGCACTGAGAGGGCATGGCCGGGTATTACACAGTTGGTTGAGGCGACTTGAGCCTGGGCAAAATTTACCATTGTTCTGTGGCCTGTGTGGAAAACAATACAAAACCAAATTGGACTTTTTCGTATAGAAATGTTAGCATAATGTCAAAAACATGAAAAAGATTTAAAAAGAAAAACTCAATTATGTAATAGATGATTGTGGTGGGTGTGTACCCCAACTACCCCAAAAGCTATGCTGTTGGAGGCAGTTACCTCCTAGTAAGGGTCTCCTGAGGTAAACTGGTTCCGGGTGAGTGTGGCTTAACAAAGCACAATTCAACCCTTTTGGTGACTACAGGACCGTAGGAATATTACACCTTACCCAGTGGCGAAGTCTTGACTACATTGGTTCAAAAGAAGAAAAGCTATTGACCTCAGACAAGATGTAAAGGAGAACTTGCTGCCAAGCTCTGACTTTTGTTTGATAAGTTCTTGTTCCATGTCAATGTCCTATCTGCTACAAGAGCTATTTTTCAAAGGTTGCAAAGATCAGCACATTTTCATTAGATACCTCTATGAATTTCTTATACTAAAATAGTTGCGGTTGAGCATCTATTAAACAAATATATTTTGTATGATTGATTGATATCAAATTTGCAGTCTTCATAAACCTCCAAGACATACTTCAGCATATAAGCCTGCCAAAGTGCAAAAGTTTGTTGCTCTTAACAACATGTGTGGGCTTAACACATAAGATGTAAAGTGTTCATTTCATAAACAGCATCAACAGCTTAGCCACTGTTTTAATGGTCATAATAAGCTAACATGTTTATGTCATCTATCAATAAAATCAGTAAGTCAGACAAACTGTAAAATTTAGTTCCAACTCTATTCTCTCGCAGAATAGAGCTTGAATGTGTCACCAAAATAACAAAAGGAATCACCATTTGTTAGACAAAAGGAACGAGTATTTTAATAAACACTGGGATGTCATGCAAGACTTCCCAGGCTGTCTAAACTCATGCCAGACATTCCTACGAACCACCAACAGAGAAAATTGAGTTTAGGTGTTTACTAGAGGGGTTTGCACATGCACATAAACACACCTAGCCTGGGGAGCCATTCTGTGTCTAATAAAATCAGTTCAATGTTAGCATAAAGACAAAAAACTGGCTAACAGAAAACTATAAAAGGCACAAGGGGAAAAGAACAACTAGTGGTACGTATCTTTTTCATTGTCTGCAATAGCTTTAAAGTTGCCTGTGTGAAATAAATGCCAACAACATTGTAAAGCAAATATTCAAGTTGAATGCAAAAGTGCATTTTACTTCAACTCTGCTGTTCATTGACTCCATTTAGACCCATACTCAATCACACAATGATGTGGCTGCCAAGAGTGATAAAGCGCTATTCAAGGTAGGTGTGAGTAGGATGGGGTGGGGGAGTCAATCTGCTCTGTGCTGATCTTGCTTCCCTTTGGTGAGAGGGGATGTTTGGCCATGGTTTTCATGGTCCTGATCCTATTATGACTTTGCTGCACACAAACACAGCCCATATGGTAAGGTGCTTACAGCAGGTCAGTGGGGGACTACACCGTATATTCTATCAGTCAAGTCATTCTCATAAGAAATGACCCATTTACTTAAGGAAGGCCTTTTGCTAAGTCTCTCCATTCTTTACCTTTGCCTCTTTTCTTTATAACCCTATTCTATCCTCCTTGGACAATCCAGTGTCTTTAAAAATGTATAAAAACAAGACCAAAGAAGATCTGACAGGTTTTCAGTGTGCAAACCTTATGACCCTTAGGGTGCTTAAATGTCCCAGTAGCCTGGTAAATCTGCCAGTGACAGAAACAGAAACTCCTGTAGGTCAAGGGTCATCATGTCTGCTCTTGTCCTCTTTGTGACACACCTGCTCCCTCCCTGCCCCCCCCCCAGGATTTCCCACCATGTATTATACTCCTGCAAAGAGCTCCAAATTCCTCTGTTGTGCTGCTGGTATCATTAGTCATATATGTGAAAATAAATGTTTGTCTTAATACTTGATATTATTCCCAGATTAAAACTACAAATACTTGGCCAAAATATGTACAGAGATTACTGGGGAGAAGACGCACTGTACAATATCTTGAGTCAGCGAATAAAAGGTGACTCCAGTCTTAACAGGATCTGATTATGGACTTAGTGAACTTTGAGGGTAAAGATATTTGGGATTTAAGATGGTAAATGGAATAAAAAGATGGTGGATCAAATCCAACTGTAGTCCAATTTTATTGTCCTCATTTAAGAGCTACAAGGAGCAACACGTCATAAGTTACCTCTTGACTCAGCACTACTGAACTACTGGTAAATATGTATCCTTCAGCAAGGAGCGAAACGTCTTCTGTTACAAATAAAGTTCAGTTGTTTTTGTATTGAACGTTTTTTTAATTTATCATGTCCTGGATGACTGAGAATCTTCACCAGCATATGTATCCTTCACCATCTTCTGGTCAATTCTTTGTCCCACTGACTTTAAAACTAACCATTTAGAAACATCAGTCTTTCAGCAGCTGCTCCTACAAAGTTCTGTTTAGTTTTGTTTACAGGAATGAAAAATGAACTTGACAGCTAACCTGGTTGCCTGGCCTTTTTCGGTCTGCCAGTCATGGTTTATAATGTGTATCATATGAGGGCTGGCCTGCCTCTTTGATCCTTCATGTGGATTAGGAGACGAGTCGACTGAGACGGACTGAGCAGAATGTCTGCCTCTGTGTTAAGTAAGCAATGATGAAGCCCATGAAGTCCAGAAGATAACGTTGTAGAAAACCATACATTTCAGAGAAGACTTTTTAAATAGTCAAGGAACAAAAATAATATAGGGCCATATGAAAAATGTTTACAGTGGATGAGAATTTATGGGAACTCTAGGATGAAATGATTGACAATATGAGGCATGATAAAGTATTTATTTTTAATGTATCTATAGAAATACAGTCACTGACAGTTATTGAAAGGACTGTTCAATAGAAAGTGGCACATGGGAGTGGTGGTGCGGGGGTTACATAAGGTGAGCCTGTGATCAGAAGGTCGCAGGTTCAAACCCCCAGACATCCAACATCAAATGTGAGAAAGGTGTAGCACCCACACCTGCCTCTACCCATATTTGCCCCATTCTGGGCCCTTGAGCAAGGCCCCCAAATCTTGAGCAAGGCCCCTAAAAGACTAGCTAACTTAGATGGCAGCCCTATGCTCCACATGTGTGCTCACATGTGCACTGGAAAAAATGCACACACACACACATTCACACATACACACATACATACACACCAATAAGTCAATGCTACTTGGCCAAGAATCAGGAAAGTGATTCTAGTATGTGGAAGAGGATTATCACTCACAGCCATGGAAGATGGGTGATCATGTAATTGTCTACATTGTGTGCATGTATGATTTTTGTCTGTTGTTAAAAAAAAACCTCCTGAACCAGTAGACTAATTTTGATGAAATTCTCAAATGGTAATCGTATATACATCTGCAAACCATTAACTTTTGGAATCCACCCAGTTCAAGACAGCTGCCAGAGCCGCTTCAGCAAATACAAAAAAGTCTATAATTCAGTCAATTTTCAAGGTATTGAGCTAATATTTGGAGTTGTAGTAGGTGACAGTCACCCATAGCATATACTCTAATCACTTACTGATAAAATAAAATTTTTTTTTTTTTACTTTGGCATGTAAGGCAGTAGCAGTATTTGTTCCTTAAAGGAATGTTAGTTTTACTGTGATAACTTTCAGTAGTTTTGAAATATTAGAAAGATAAATCAAATAGAACTGAAAATGTAATTAAAGAGCAGACTCAGACGGGGGAAAAAGGCAAGAAACAAGTGTTACTTTAAGATGGCAGGCAAGCAGTGAGGGTAAAGAGATTACATTTAGAAAAAATAAGACATTTAAAGTGTTTGTATACGGAATGTGTGATAACTCAGCGCTTGTCATTGTGTGTTTAAGTGAAATTTTTGTATACAAAAACAAGCAAAGCTTTATATCATTTTAAAACTATTTTCTGTTAAGTAACTAAACAACCTTATAATTTTCAGATGAGTTTGACATGTCTACAATGACTAAGCATAAGCTTTAAGGCATTTGACCATGAACTATTTGATGAAATTATGATGGTATTAGCTCTTTTTAATGCAGGGGATAAATACAAATTCAAATTCAAATTCAAAAATACTTTATTAATCCCAGAGGGAAATTATATGTTGTGGTAACTCATCATCCTGGTTTAATTAAAGGGTTGTTATAGATGCTGATGGCTGTGGGCAGGAAGGATCTCTTGTAGCGGTCTGTCCTACAACAGATCTGAAGAAGCATCTGACTGAAGACACTTTGTTGTTGTATGACAGTCTGATGAAGAGGATGCTGAGGGTTGTCTATAAAGTTCTTCATTTTATGAAGAATCCTTCTTTGTACAATCATCTCCAAAGGTTCTAGAGGAGTCCGCAGAACTGATCCAGCCTTCTTTATGAACTTGTCGATCTTTTTAAGTCACTTGCTCTGGTGCTGCTTCCCCAGCAGATGATGGCAGAAGAGATAGTACTCTCTACAACAAACTTATAGAAGATATGCAGCATCTTGCTGCAAACATGGAAGGACTTCAGCTTCCTCAAGAAGTACAGTCTGCTCTGTCCCTTCTTGTAGACAGCTTCACTGTTGCATTTCCAGTCCAGTCTGTTGACCAGGTGAACCCCAAGATATTTATACTTCTCCACCACCTCCACTTCTTCTTCCATGATGGAAATAGGGTTGGACCTGTTCCTATTTCTCCTGAAATCTAAAATCATCTCCTTTGTTTTGTTCACGTTCAAGATGACATGATTGTTTCCACACCATGCCACAAAGCGGTCCACCAGTTCTCTGTACTCAGCTTCTTGTCCATCTCTGATACACCCGACTACTGCAGAGTCATCAGAATATTTCTGCAGATGACAGGAGTCTGCTTTATACTGGAAATCTGAGGTGTACAGAATGAAAAGGAATGGTGAGAGTACAGTCCCCTGTGGTGCTCCTGAGCTACTGACCACCTGGTTAGACACACAACCCTTCAGTCTCACAAACTGTGGT